ATCATGCTGTGAAGTCCCAAAAATTCACAACAAATTTATGAAGTAAATTGTTGTAATGAAAAATCGATTTATTTCAATTTTTCGGTGTCGAAAAAACTACTTTTAAGCAACGGGAGCAAGTTAGTACGTTTCTTATTAAAATAATTTTAATGAGTTCAAATAAATATATTTGACAAAAACTGAACATTTTTTTAACTTTTTCACTGCTTTATGTTCCATCTGTGTTAATCTCTGTCTTAAATACATAAAATCTGCAATCTAGCGATAGCTATCTTAATCATATATCATTAATATTGTCACACTTCAAATTTAAAAAAAACAACTTCGCTATCTTTTCCAGTAAATATTAACACTATATTTACGGAGCACAAAAAACAGCTGTTTTAAATTAGTTTATAAAAGTAACAATAAGACATTTATTCTGATTTTTAACAAGTGTTACTATAACATTTGCTGTAAGTAACATATAAATTCAATAAATATCTTATAAATATATCTTAACGATATGAATAATCGTAAAATAAAAAATTAATGACCCGTCATTTTGACGGATTCTGTAAATCTAGTGTTAAATAAAAACATGAAACAACAAATTAAGTGAGTCATATGAACATTGCTCATTTCACTATGAAACATCTCTACGTTTTCGTAGCACGTTACATGATTTCTTCTCTACCTCTGTTACTTCGATACAACAAACTCTTTAGTTAACTCTTTAGTTTAGTACTCTTCGATCTTGTAAGTTTGATTAATAGAAATTCCTGTTGCTGTTCCTCATTGCAGAATGCTCTTAATAGATTCGTTGCATTCAACTACGCATATGTAGGAGGGAACGGGAGAATGGTGGTCATTCAAACAAGAATTGCAATACACTCAAAATATGAGATAATACATTTATTTGAAATAACTTTTCATAAGCTTTGGGCAATAAACTATAAGTGAAAAATAAAAATAATAATATCCATAATGATTTACTTGTGGTGAAATTAACGTTATAAAAAAATAGTTTTGACCCTTATTACCCGCATCAGTGGGCAATGATAATCATGCTGTGGGTAATCGTGGTAGGCATATCATACAGTCATCGCACACATATTTTTCGGGAGGATCCCATCCGGTCATTCTGCACGAGATGCATCTGTATTACATTTCATTGTCTCGTTTAAATTGAGTGCAGATGATACGTATATTATTGGCTTCGCCTACATCATCATCGTCGATATTATGAACAAATTTTTTGGTCGTTTCATCTAATCTTATCTTCTTTTTAACATTAATTTTAATTATCTTTCCATGTTTTCTTTTTGCTACTTTTCTATTTTTTTCTATTCCTTTTTTTTATGAAATATTCCTCAAGGCGACTACCATTACCTGCATATGCATTATTTATTATTTATTTTTATTAATCCAACAGAATTTAGTAACAGATTGAAGTAGAAATTATTTGAAATGTCAAACAGTAAATTATTTTAATACAACCAACATTGCATTATTTATTTAAAATTGATTTGTGCTTATACTTTCACAAACATCTTATCTCTAGTCTGCGGATTTTTATGTAAAATATAAATATTCTGAAGAAATTGAAAATTCGTTCTTCCTTTAACAATTTTAATAGCTTTACAATAACATGTTGGCGTCCTTAAAATCGTTAAATTTTGAAATATTGAAGCGATTTCAGGATCTTGAATCGACAAATTACAGCGTAAGGTCAAAATTGCTTATTGACAGAGGAGCTGACCAACTCGATTCAGTCAAATGAATTGATTATAAAGACGACGTTGCAATTTATCCGGCCCGTCATGTCTTTAGTTGGTAATTTCACCCTTCCATTCTTCTATTAGACATTAGAAGTATAGGCTAAACACCGAGGTACTCAATGAGCGGTTTCACTACACAGAACCACACCATTAACTATGTCTAGTTGAGTTCGGGCTAGTTCCACTGAATGGATTTAGCTATGCATATAGAGAGCACAAGAGAAGAGAAAATAAAACAGCTTGTAACTCTCTTAGTTACGACTTTGTTCCTAAAATTTGATTTTAGTGCCCTACGCTGCAACAGTTACAATAAATTTATTTAGATCAGAATTTCTGTATGAAATAATTTTCTGTTTTTTAAAAGTATGGAAAAATTAAAAATATAACAAGCTGTGAGAGGTTAATGTTGAAATTTAAGAATATATCT